GTCACCGCTGCGGGGCGACATTAAGGGGCCAAGCTAAGGGGCGAGGCTGTAGGGCAAAGCTACGGGTGAGGGGCAAAGCTAGGATTGAAGCAGAGAAACATGGAAAAACACAGTGCCGTGATGTGCCATGGCACTTCAATAAGCCAATCAAAAGGAGCCCAATGACACAGACGATCAAGGGACATTCTATAGTATCACAAGAGCAACGAAAAACTTAGAGGTAGCGCCTCCCAAGGGTCGCAAACTCTCTAAACCAAAAGTAGTGGTCTTACAATGTCTCAGCATCATGTCTCATCATCATTTCTATGCAGGCGTTGGTGTCTGGAATGTTGTAATAACTTGGACGTGCACATGACGTTTGGAAGAGTGCGCAGACTTTTGGGGAAGCTCTGCTTTCATATTATGTTTTCATGTCATTTATCATAAGAATGTGTTTTTTGGGAACCTGTATTTCTCTATCTCCTTGCTGTCCACGGAACTTGCACGGCCTGAATACAATTAAACATTTGCTGAACAAACACCAGCTTCTAGTAGCCTGACTTTGGCGCACGGGGGCAGAATATCAGGAAACCGGATGAAAAAGGCATACTCGACGGATGAAGGCATGCTCGCGTCGGCGCAAGTGTATCATGCCAGCGCGTTGAAACACATTGCCCATTCTTCGCACAGATTCAAGTAGGTGCATTTCTTTATTGTACCAACATATCTGACCTGCCCGTTGTTTGAACAGTTCGTTCAAACTATGCCTGCAAGTCAGGGCCAACCACAGCTCCTACAAGGAGGGCACGCTGTTGTATTCAGTGGCGATGATGACCCTTCAGCTTATTGGACAGGTGGTTTGTTCTGAATAGGCTTTGATGACTGCCAGTTCCCTTGGAATAGTCTTGTGTGTGAGCTGTCACGTTCTGCAGAAAAATGCAAGGAAGGGGTTGCTATTCTGCCAGTAGAACGTGACGCGAACACTTGGCTAACGCAACTAAATCCGTCATTCAGGCTGGCGTTGCGGTTGATTTCAACCGTGTGACAAGAGCTATTAGTTGAATACATCGAGTAGAAAATGATGCACAATTTATTGATGGAATCGCTCAGGCCTGCAGACTTCCTTGACGTTTCTTGTCACAAAAGAGAAGGTTGCCCAAAGAAGCTACAGCATCTCTATTGCACATCTAGAGCATGGCTGGATCCATTGGCATGTCCACCAAGGTGGTGCCCATTAGCCCTTGGGAAGTCATTGGTGTCAATAGCACCTTGGAGCTGGAGCGATGGCGCTTTGATCAGCTCCAAGCTGCTGAGATGACAACGAGAAGCAACATATGTCACATGTTGTCACTACAAGCCCACTAAAATTTCTGATTTCAGGCAGGTTTAGGGATGCAGCAGATAGGCTGGCTGGCTGGTAGGGGTAGATGTACAAAAGGCCGGCAGAAATCGCGGCCACCACTACGACGCTAAGAGCCGCAGTAGGCCCAGTGACACTAAGTAGCCGAGGATTCTTCCAGCATAGCGAGCAAGCCTGATTCGAGCGGTGGTGAAACTAGAGGCCGCTGTTGCTGCCGTGTGAAGTCGCATCTCGGAGAGCATGGTGATGCTTTGGAAAGGCTGCGTATTTTTGTGGAACATGTTTCTTGGCATACTATGCGTGGCTAGGGCGGCCTGCAGACATCCCGTTGAACATGGCTTTGCAAGGTTGCTGACAGACTCTTCCTGATTGCTGGATGCTTCATTTATGCTTTTGACCTCTCTTCACTCGAAAAGCTCTACGCGCCACCCTTAGGAATGAACATCTTTGAGCCTGCTTGGCATGCCATCAGCTTTGGTCAATTTGTAGCAACCCAGGTGCTTACAGTGCCTGCAGATGGCGAGCCGGATCAAATCAGGCTTTGTGGGGTATTGTTTAGCTGCAGCTGAATCCCAAAAGCCTCCAGGGCTTTGTCTATAGGAGCTGACGAGGGGATACGTATACATATCCTAAGTGGCCGCGCATGCAAAACATATGTAAAACTCATATGAAACATAGATTTTTACGTTGGTGGAACGTATGTGATGCGTATGTGAAGCGTATGTGCAGCGCAAGTGAAAACATATGTGAGCCGTATGTGAAATATATGTGAAACGTATGCGAAATACATGTGACATATTGGGACTGGATTGCGATGTGTTTATGTTTTACTTATGTATACGTTTGCGAATTTATGTGTTCTTTTTATGTCGGAGGAAAAATAAGACCTTATTTTGTGCAAATCACGCAAAATAAGGCCTTATTTTGCAACGCACGTAAAGAAAACATAAACAAAACGCAAACGAGAACGCAAACACATGTTGTAACGTTTGTGTTTGTACATGTGTATATGGTTTATGTTTTATTTATGTCGGGAGAAAAATAAGACCTTATTTTGGGCAAATAAGGCCTTATTTTATCACTTACGCAAAAGAAACACAAACAGAAACATAAAGAAACAGCTAGTAGCCGCAATTTCTGGATATGTCGGGAATATGCGTTTTGTTTGCGTATTTGAAGCCGTTTATGTATGCGTATGCGCAGGCCAGTCCAAGACGGGCTCTATTGTGAAAGCCTTTGAAACCCTGCTAAGGTATTGTGGCAACATGACAGCTGGTACCGTCGAACATACTTCAGTAGTGAATCTGGATCATGTCATTAGCAGCCACATGCCTACAATGAACCTTATCAAAGACGTTTGACCAAACAAAATATCCTTCTATGACTTGCTGCTGTAAGCCTTGCTGATCTTCTTGTTACCTGTGCTTCGGCCTCTCAGGACCGCAGATCACGAGATTTTAGCCAGATGGGACTACGGGCGTACCTTCCTGGCTCATCATGCAGAAGGCAAAAGTCGTCAGCAAAGCCGGGCCAGAGTGTTCTGAAATTGTTTCTGCATGTTCCTGCTAGAAAAGATTTTTACATAACCACATACAGTATTTAAGTATCACATATTCGCTTTTTTTTTTGGTATTGTATATGTATATATAATTATATATACATATACGTAAAAATATTTATGTGCACATCACACATTTACACACGCACATATATATATATATATACACATACCATATACATGCGCACGCACAGAGAGAGAGAGAGAGAGAGAAATGGCCATATATACGAATCCACACACACACGCACACACACACACATTGCACGAACAGACATATGTGCACATTAGTGTATATAAATGAATCAGTCGATACGCACCGGCACAGACAGAGAGAGAGAGATATGATATACATATACATGTATATACACGTAAATAGCTACACATGCATACATGCATTCTTTCATTCATGCATTCATTCATTTAGTCAGTCATTCAATCATTCAATCATTCAATCAATCATTCATACATCCATACATTCATACATTCATGCATTCATACATTCATACATTCATGCATTCATACATTAACACATTCATACATTCATACATTCATACATTCATACATCCACACGCACATATTTACATTTATGATTATGTTTATGTATATGCAAATGTATATGTATGTATGTATGTATGTATGTAATGCATGTAATGTATGTAATGTATGTAATGTATGTAATGTATGTAATGCATGTAATGTATGTAGTGTATGCAATGTATGCAATGTATGTAATGTATGTAATGTATGTAATGTATGTAATGTATGTAATGTATGTAATGTATGTAATGTATGTAATGTATGTAATGTATGTAATGTATGTAATGTATGTAATGTATGTAATGTCTGTAATGTATGTAATGTATGTAATGTATGTAATGTATGTAATGTATGTAATGTATGTAATGTATGTAATGTATGTAATGTATGTAATGTATGTAATGTATGTAATGTATGTAATGTATGTAATGTATGTAATGTATGTAATGTATGTAATGTAGGTAATGTAGGTAATGTATGTAATGTATGCAATGTATGTAATGTATGTAATGTATGTAATGTATGTAATGTATGTAATGTATGTAATGTATGTAATGTATGTAATGTATGTAATGTATGTAATGTATGTATGGTAGGTGTTTGTAGGTATGTATGTTAGGTATGATGTATGGAATGTATGTAATGTATGAATGCATGTAATGTTATGTAATGTATGTAAGTATGTAATGTATTGTATGTAATGTTAATGTGTTATGTGTGTATGTATGGGTATGTATGGTATGTATGTATGTATGGTATGTATGGTATGTCTGGTCTGTATGGTATGTATGGTAGTATGGTATGTATGGGATGTATGTATGGATGTAGTAATGTACTGTACTTGTATGTTAAGGTAATGTAATGTAATGCTAATGTAGGAATTTGTAATGTAATGTAATGAATGGTAATGTATGGATGTATGGTATGTATGTATGGTATGTATGGTATGTATGGTATGTATGGTATGTATGGTATGTATGGTATGTATGGTATGTATGGTATGTATGGTATGTATGGTATGTATGGTATGTATGGTATGTATGGTATGTATGGTATGTATGGTATGTATGGTATGTATCGTATGTATGGTATGTATGGTATGTATGGTATGTATGGTATGTATGGTATGTATGGTATGTATGGTATGTATGGTATGTATGGTATGTATGTAATGTAATGTACTGTACTGTAATGTAATGTAATGTATGTAATGTAATGTAATGTAATGTAATGTAATGTATGGATGTATGGATGTATGGTATGTATGGTATGTATGGTATGTATGGTATGTATGGTATGTATGGTATGTATGGTATGTATGGTATGTATGGTATGTATGGTATGTATGGTATGTATGGTATGTATCGTATGTATGGTATGTATGGTATGTATAGTATGTACGGTATGTATGGTATGTATGGTATGTATGGTATGTATGGTATGTAATGTAATGTAATGTAATTTAATGTAACGTAATGTAATGTAATGTAATGTAATGTATGTATGTATGTATTACAGCCTTCAGTACCTTGTTGAGGCATGCAGGTGATGATGTGGTCTACTTCAGATGGTGCAAGTCGAGGACACATCAGATCCAAGTGCGAGATTCTCTGCTGTGATCTTTCCCACAATCATTTGCATGAGATCTTGGTCACTCTGGAGATTGATGGCGAGATACGTCTTTTCAAAAGGCCGTCCGAATTTGATACCGCTACGTCCGATGGTGCTGACCTCTGGGAGTTCGTTCGGAAGGTTTCCTTGCGCGCTCCAATTGTCGAAGTCAAGGTGGAGAGGTCTCTTCTTTTGGCGGTGACTCACTCAGAGAACGGAGAAAGTGGTGCAATTCATGTCTGGGAAGTATTGACAGAGCATCTGGAGTGTTTGCAGCATCTTGGGTCTATTCAATGTCCTAACCCACCAGACCGAGTAGAAGCACGTCATGGTGGTCGCTTTGTTGAAGCTTTCTTTGTACCTGTCATTGGTTCCCATGAGCGACGTCTTCCAGATGGAATTTACGACATCGAGTGGTTTGATCGGAATATGAGAAGTCTGTTCAAACTTCGTGGCATAGGGGATTGGAGGTGTGACCTGAGGGATGCAGTGGCCAGACTTGAAGATGATACGAGTGTCAGTTGGTTGCCGCTTTGGCATCCAATCTTTCGAACATGTTCAAAATTCAGCGGCTGCTCCAGTCTGCCCACAGCTGACAGTGCCAGCAGCATGCCAGTTGTGAGGTGAGGACAGGACATTTCTTGGTCAGACTGCGCCTGTTTTGTCATCTGCTGAGGATGCAAAAGCCCCCGCGCGATTGTGGCCAAGGCTGGAGTTGAAAACGATGCTGTCACCTACTGAGAGCAAAGGATCTGACATTGCGGTGTTCTGGAGGAGCGGCCAAGCCACGGCATGGCACTTACATGCTCCTTTCCTCTTTGCAATCTTCCCGCTTCACCCTCTCAGAACAATTTACTAGTCAAGCACTGTGAAGCATGAAGTCCCTAGTCATAGGATGACGTGAGCTCACATTCTGGATGCATTCCTTGCTCCGATCACTTGAGCATTCTAGAAGAGACACCCCCAATAGAAAAACTATCTTGAAGTTGCCCCCCAGACGCCCAGAATATCAACCAGTATCACCCTTCACCCAAATTAAGCACTGATGTGAAGTTAAAGCAGAGTTTTGCAGCAAGGTCTGCAGAAGAAGCTGCGCAAGAATATTGTCTTGTAAAGCCCGCTGCCTCAGATTACCACTTGCCCGAAGGTCCTATACAGCTGCCAGGAAGAGCGGTATTTTTTCTGTAGCCGAATGTTTTAGGCCATGCAGTTTTTTGGTTTGCACGTCCAAGAATAGAGCGGCAAAAGGAATTTACGTGTCAAGTGGACAACTGTTCTCGAGTGATCGGAAATGATTTATAAACTAACTCACCAAGAACGGCATTTCCGTTTCATGTTATGCATTTCTGCGTCATTTCCCAAGCCTTCCCAACATTTGCTTGCAGACTGTATTCAGGCCCGGGGTTGATTTGCCAAACCAGCTGAAGGAGAAATGGGTTGCAGCCGACATGCTATTTTTTTTGTGAGAGGTATAAGCACGCACACATACATGTACATGTATGTGTATATTTACACACACACACACGCATATATATATATATATACATACATACATACATACACATACGCATACATGCATACACATATGATGTTCGCCTTCTTGCAAACAATTCCCATTGGATTTCGCTGTGCTGGAATATTTCTTGTGAGCAAAGGAGCACAGCGATGCACGCTTGATGAACTTGTCCAGCCCCTGGATGGGTGACTTTCCGGATTCTGCCTGCTTGAATTCATCTTCTAAGAAACACCACGGGATAAGCCGTTTTCATCCTCCCTGTTGCTGGCTAGTCAGTTGGATCGGGTGCGTTTCCTGCCAAACCTTTGAACATTGTAATTCGTGTCACATCACCTGAAGGATACAAAGCGCTTCCCACAGAAGTGTCCCTTCATCTATTTTCGGATCGCCAGGAGCTGAGATCGTTTTTTTGTTGCAATGTTTTGATCTGAAGTTGGTAAAACTATAGTGGCGCAATTTATTAGCTTCGCATCCCAAACTGTTGAGGGAGCTCATGTGGGAGGTCGTGGAGCGAAATCTTCCAGCCTAGATGAGGTCAACCACAGCGGCAAGTCCATGCCCAAAGGCGGGTCCGGGTGTGGCACAGACACAGGAATTGAGTCTCTGAGTGGATCGAAGGCATGCAGAGGAGCATTCGGTAGAGACAACATTGGGTTGTGAGACAATTGGAAGGAAAGCAGTCGAGTCCAGTACTCGGTTAAGGAAATAGGAGAAGGATGGAGAAGGAAGGCTTTGATTTTCGCGTGCGGTGTAATTTGACGAATTTGGCCCTAACCAAGGCTTTCATGCGATTCCGGCCTTCTGCTGCCACCTCAAGCCTATATTGTATCGGATCATCATGGCGATGGCATGTGGTAAAGTGCAAAGTACGTAGACATCCTAGACGTTGCGAGGTTGGTACTTGGTTGCAGCCACGGCACCCGGCCATTCCACCTGCCA